CAATTGCGTGTGTAAATGAAGTCAAGTTGGTTGCCTGATTTGTGCGTGCTTGTAGTGGTAAGGCATTTGAGATCAAATAAAGCAAGGAGTGAATGGAAGTCTGTAGCATAAGGCTTGTCCAGATGAATGTTGAAGTCGCCAAAGACTAAAAGTGTACTGCCATCCTTTGGGAATGAGGACAGCAGCCCATTCAGCTCTTCTAGGAAGGTACCTAGAATTTGCCCAGGACATTAATAAGAGCATAACTTATACACCTATAACCCCCTCAACCATATGTTGTTGTTGTTTTTTTCCCCTCACAATCTATACTCCACACCCCATAATGACAAAGCAAAAAAAAAAAAAAACGTTTTGTGATAGATTTGTGATGGATCAAAAAATGTATGGTTTGATACCTGTTGAATGTGCTAAATACTGAGTTATAGGTCTGTGGAATATTCTTTTTTTATATATATAAATTTGCTAAATTATCACAAATTGGGTTTTTGCTTGGAGTGTAGATTGATGTGAAAATAATAATAATAATAATTTTGCATAAAACTACAACATAAAATGTTAAAAGATTAAGGCAAAATTAATTTTTGAAATGTACTAAGCAGGAATCTCCAACCATGCTCCTGAAGAGCTACCATCCTGCATACTTCAGTTCCAACCGTACTCCAACCCAAGCCTGTAATTATCAAGTAACCCTGAACACCTTGATTAGCTGGTTCAGGTGTGTTTTATTTGGACTGGAGCTGAACTCTGCAGGACAGTAGCTCTCCAGGAGCAGGGTTGGAGGCCTCTGTATTATGGACCTTCCCTAAGAAGGTCCCTAATTTAAATGTGAGTGTGTATGTGTGTTAACCCTGTGATGAATTGGCCATGTCCTGGGTTTCCCTGCCTTTGCTGGGATAGGCTCCAGCGTCCCTTCAAACCCTGCATAGGACAAGTGGTTTGAAGAACGAATGGAAAGATTATTATTTCCAAACCACATCCAAATGAACCTGGTTATTGTGCTGAACACTTAAGGCTAGATTTACTAACATCTTGTGCCAGCACAAACCCTCTCTTGGCATAAAAAAGTACTGTCAGGATTTACTAAAGACACACAGTGAAAAATTAGTTATAAAAAAGCATGGACAGGGTTATTTTGTGGCTGACCTTATTGCATATGCATTTGTAAGAGTTTTCCATTCAGACGCAAAATGTATGAGAGTAGAGTGTTTAAATAAATCATACAACCTGATAGCTGGTAATTTGTGCTACTTTTGGTAGATTGCATGGGCTATTATGTAAATGATTTGGCTGCATCCGTGTTCTTTAAATTGCACATTGTCAGTAGATCAGCCACAGAACTTTTCACTCACATTGGTGCTTTTATGATCTTACGGTCTCTTGCTAATTTGCCCTTTTTAGTAAATCTGGCCCTAAGTGTTCAAACATGATTCTGAAATGTTGAAATTTCACTCATGCATTCATGTATACCTGACATTCAATCCTGCTTGGAGGGCCACTATGCTACAGAGTTTAGCTCCAATTCTAATTAAACACACCTGAACCAGTTAATCATTGTCTTCATAATTATTAGAAACTTCCAAGCAAGTGTTGGACATATTGGAACTAAACATTGACATTGACATTGGCCCTCCAGGGGTAAGACTGTCCACCCCCTGACTTAGCAGATAACTTTGTGTTCATTGTCAAAGGATATGGAAGTTATGTGCTCCATATGTTGTAATGCAGGGGTGTCCAAACTCTGTCCCGAAGGGCCGGTGTCCTACAGAGTTTGGCTCCAACTTGCCTCAACACACCTGCTTGGAAGTTTCTAGTATGCCTAGTAAAACTTTGATTAGCTGTTCAGGTGTGTTTAATTTGGGTTGTAGCTAAACTCTACAGGACATGCTAATACTAATGCTAATACATTATTTTCAGCAGGATTGGACAGCCCTGGTGGTGGGAAAAACAGTTCCTGTGTTTGGGGATCACTTTGTTTTAATGCTAACTCCCCTATTCCACCTCAGAGGTGGTGTCATCTGAAGGCAAGACATGATTATGTTGTCCATAAAAAACCCCTGATCTCATTTAAATGTTTCACACCAAGAACTTTCACACCATTGTGTGAAAATATTTTCCATCCTCCCTGCCTGCTGTCCATTAAAGGAGAAAATTAAAGAAATTTGAGAAGAGATGCAGCTGTTTTTACTTGATGGAATTATGTAAAAGCTAAATCTAATTGCTTTCTATAGCCTATTTGATGCTTTCTAAAGCTTTAAAACCTAAATTGTCAAAGATTTATTGGTAAACAAAAGATCATTGAAGAGTTTTAGAATTTAATGAGATTATATATATATTAATTCAAATGTCGCCATATGTCAAAATGCCCTTTGCTTGTTTGACCATGTGACTCAGTGCTCAGGCAATCTGCATTTCAAAAGTGCCATACATTTTTTCTGAAAGACAAAACATGCTCCACGTGGAGCAGCGACGATTTACCTTTGCGGTGTACAAAGCTGACAAAATCCATTCATCATTGTTCATAAGCTACAGAATATAAGGAACACTCAATCCATGGAGAACTTTAAAAATGTGAAACAGGAACAATATATAGTGTTTGATGATTAAACACATAATCTGATTTTGACTTACTTGATTTTGACTTACTTGATTTTGACTTACTTGAGACAGGTTCCAAGCACATGAATGACCAAGCAAAGTCGTATTTACAAATGGGGAAATTGGAAATTCTAGAGGACACCCAAGTTACCGAGTGGGGCATGGTGGTGAAGTCTGTTGTTAATAGCTGTACACAGCATGCACAAAAACAACTGTAAAGTTTATCACTCACCTTTTACAGTCTGCTTTATGCAAAATACGTGTTTTGGATAAATGTTAGAAAATTAACGATAGAGATTGCAATGACAAAAAAAATTTAAATCTAAAATCCTCTATTCTTTTTCTGACTTGAATGTGTGACCTGTCACTTTAACAAATGACTGTCATTGCAATTCATGCCCAACTCGGAAGTAAGAGCTTTAGAAATGCACTTGAAAGCAGCAATAAATGCAAACCTCAACGTAATGGACTGTTTTCACATTCCTGGGCTTTTCAGAAGTGACAATCATCATAGATGTGTAAACTAGTGTTGAACAGGAGACTTGTAGATTTTTTTTATTTATTTATTTGTTTTCCATTACTTTTTTTAAAAGAGGAGGAGGAGAGAGAGAGTAGTCAGAAGAGAAAAATTACAAATTTTTGTTAAGATCATATTTATTGATTTTTGAATTATAATATTTGAAGAATGCTACATTTATGACAGCAATTGAGGAAAAGTATCATATTCTTTGAAAAGGGAAGATTCAGCTCACTGTTTTCTTGTAAACAGAAACTTATTCAGAATTACATGATTTTCCATGTTTATTAAATGTGATTAGATACTAGATCATTCTAATATTGTATTAAATACTGATTGTTGTTTAAAAAAATCTGCTGGCCTTTTTTTTTCCCTCATGTATTCTGTAGATACACTACAGCTTGCACAGAGTTGTACAAAAAACCCAGTGAGTGGCATTTTTGTTGGACCATAAGATTTGCCTTTGATGAGAATGACCTTGTCCGTTCAATCTGATACAGTAGAAAGATCACAAATAAACACAATAACACTCTTTACAACTCTGAGGTGAAGAAGGTCATCTCTGACTGCGCAGTATGTCAAACCTTTAAAGCTGATGGGCTTGAGCAGCAGGACATTGCGATAGAGTTTTCTCCTGTCAGTCAAGGTCACAGAGGGCGCAGAACCACCACACTGAATAATTGAACATTGACGGATGGTCTGATGAATCTTAATTTCTGCTTTGACATGCAGATGGCAGGACCAGAATCTGGCACAAACAGCAGGAATCCATTGATCCACTCTGTCTAATGTCTTGGGAATATGTCCCTCTCATAAATTAGGCCTATTTAAAAACATTTAAGCCAATGTGAAAATCATGGCATACCTAAGCTTTCACGCTGACCATGTGGGTCCTTTCATGGCCACGGTCCACCCATTTTCAAATGGATACTAATTCAGCATGTCACAAATCATCTCGAGCTGTTTCCATAAATATGACAGTCCAGTGGACTGAGCGTTCCCTTGAATTTACGATATCGAGTAAACATGGGGCAGATGGCTTCCCGTAGTCACAATGTGATACTCCACAACAAAATCCTAATATTTTCCTAACCAACAATGTCAAGCAATTACCAATTTTGAAAAAAAGCCTAGTTTTTATTTCTGCAGCGTCATAGTGGGCAGCACAGCCAATCGTGAAATGTCATTGGTCCAAAATCATGCTTTCTGATGGGTTGTGATTGTGATGTCATGCTGTTTCCGTGTGAACAGCTTGTAGCTTGAAACTGATTGCATCATGTAAGGGTTTTTGGATAGTTCTTGTCCTGAATAAGATGTTAACCGAGGAGAAAAAGGGGGAGGGTTGACCTTCTACTTGATTAAGTGGTTATTAATCGCAGTATGAATTTATGTATAATAATTTAAGTTGCTGCGATATTGATTTTAATACCTTGTGTTGATTATGTAAGTGCACAAAGAGGATCTTTATATTGAACACGCTGACTCATGAGTCAACAGACTGCTATCTAATTTATTTTCTCTTTATAGTTAGAACATTTCCAAAATGCATCAGATCATCACATCAGATTATGATGAACTACTGTGTAAACCTGATGGGAACTGACACTTGTTGTGGCCAAAATTGCATATTGAGTATAGGTTCTACATTAAATGAGCAACAAACTTCGCGAATGTGTACATTTATATTATAGATACTGTATATGAATGTGTGTAGTATGAATGAAATCCTGACATAATGTATGGGTGAAGAAAACAAAAGTAAATTATTATAACTTTTATTGTAATCGGCAAATTTGACAAACGTTCTTTGTGCATTACATTTTATAATTCAGATTTAAGTTAGTACTAAAATACTACATTTTAATTCACACAAAATATACACCCAGAACGAAGCAGATAATGTACAGACAGTACAAAACACCCCTGTGGAAACAGGCTGAAATGTGCAAGAAGACTCCAACTTCCATTGGAAATTGTCCCATTTTATAACCCTTTTCATTTATTGGTTTTCTTGCCAATTTTAACCCTCATGAATTTCTTTTTAGGATTTTCTGATACCTAGTCAATGTCATAAACATCATATTTTCATAATTTTCTCATTAGTGCAAAATGATATGATCACTGAGGAACCATAGATCTGTAATTCCTGCATTTACACTGACTGTAAACTCATCCTAGACATTGTTGAACTAAGAATTTGGAAAGGAATTCAAAAATAATGGAATGGAATTTGAGAGGAAAACAGTTGCATTTGAGAGGAAAAAAAAAATAAAAAATTCAAATCATGCCAGTCTCTTCTCATTAAGGATTTTTATGATCTAATATAAATATGGATAAATGCTAACTTTGCCTGTATGTTGCCTATTTGCCTGTAAATATGAAACAAATACTAATCGGTTCATTATAATGGAGTCACTTAACAATTGTTTGATTTGTTATTACAGACTAAACCGTACAAAACAAAAACATATCCACAGACACGCATATGTTATGAGTTTAAACCGAAAATAAAGGTAGATCTTTTCAGTTCCTGATTTAGCCCTCGCTGTTTGGTCTGTGTATCATCTTTAAATGACTTCATAAAACTGACTTAAGTTTCTATTAGGGATCTCTCAGTCAAGAGAAGTTCTTTATTACAGGCAAAACAAAAACCTGATTAAGTCTGTCAGCAGCAACAACTGCTACATCATCTGTGGAACTATCAAGTTTTTATTCACTGAGCTGATTAGATCTTGGATTATGATACTATTAAAGTGCTTATTATTTAATCGTAACTGGTCTCGCATCAAGATGAAAGATTAGACGTTTCTGAATGTATAAGTGCCATGTTCTGAAGGGACTCACACCTTCTGAAAAGAGTAGACAAACAGTAAGCGATGCTTTATTCTGTTGAGAGAACGTCTGAGGGGATTTGAGGAGCTGATAGTCACAGCTACCGAAGTTATTAAATTGTCTGAACTTCTTAAATCCTGCCATTCAAGTCATTGTCTTCACCCACATTTATTAAAGTGCTCAGAGACTGCTACTGTTTACGTAATCTGAAGCATCTGAATTCAAACCTCCAGCTAAAACTAAAACCTCAGAAGAATATTTGCTCCCACACATTATATTTAGTTAGTTTAGAAAATGGAGTATACAGTTTATCAGCTGTGAAAGTATGAGTCTTAGTGCAGTTAGAAAGAAAATGTCTCCTTAGGTTGGTTGAAATGTCAAAACAAATCCATAGAAACATTAAATGTTTCTGAATGAAACATGAAAATGAAGCGAAAGCCAGATGGATGGAGAGATGGGAAGCCCACGTTTCAGCGTGTGACGGTCTCAGCTGCTTTCATCCACCAGCTTGGCCCCGTTGATACCACGGTACGTGACCCTGCTGGGGCGCACCAGAACCCCATGGCCAGGTCGACAACTGAAGTAGCGTCGGCTGCCCACAGAACCATCGTTGTTTCCTTTCGGGTTTCGCAGCTCGAGGCCCAGCCAGAGGCCAGGGGCAAAGTTAGCTGTGCCAATGTAGCGGATGGTGCCCATCTCATTGGCACTAATTAGCAAGACCTGCATGCCCAGGTGGAGTTTGACAGTGCCATCTGAGCCAGAGGAACTGGTGGTGCCACCCACTCGGTTAGGCCCTGGGCCAGCGCTGCTGTTTGCCCTTGATGTACCCCAGCCAGCGCTGACCGTGCTCCAGCGTCGCCGCAAATTACTGGAACGGTTCCTGAGAGGCGACAACAGAAGACAAAGAGAATTTGAAAATGGGATACAATAAACTAATTAATACTACTGATGTACCAAAATTCTGGCAATTGAAAATATTCGTCCGGAAATGACTTTTCGCCTGTTTCGGAGGGCCGAAATCACTGACTGAAATGTGACGTTCAATTAGTGCTTCTCTGTTGCCGTGTTTAGACTGTGTCTGTGTCCATGGATACGTAAGCTGTGTGAATGCTAGAACTGGGCTAAAAATATAGATTTCTTGTTTTTCATTTTCATTTCAAGCTGCCTAAGCTGTTTGCAGTTGATGCATACAAACTGTACTTAAAATTTGTAGCGCGCCATCCAATAATAGCAATAAGCTTTGTGGTTTGTTACTTTTCAAACACAATCTGAGCTTTAAAATTCTGTTTATTTTATGATAGTACTGGGCAACAATTAATCGCATCCAAAATAAAAGTTTTTGTGTGTGTGCTGTGTATATTTATTATGTATATATAAATACACACACACACAGTATATATTTAGAAAATATTTATATGTATATATTTTAGTGCTGTCAAACGATTAATCGCATCCAAAATAAAAGTTTTTGTTTACATAATATATGTGTGTGTACTGTGTATATTTATTATGTATATATATAGATACACTCACATACAGCATATATTTTGGAAATATTTACATGCATATACATTTATATATTTATATTCTTATTAGGGCTGGTAAGCGATTACAATTTTTAATCTAATGAATTAGATGATGTGGCGATTAATTAATCGAAAATTAATCGCAATCAAATTTGGCTGAGAAATTACTCCCAAAAGATAATTTAAAGTCATTGTTGTGTAAAGCATCAAACAGACATTACAAAAAGTAGCTTCAGCAAGAAATATTTTGTTTGAAAAAATGTATTACATATAATCTTTTGGACCATGAGGGTGAGTAAATGATGACACAAATGTCATTTTTGGGTGGGTGAACTATAAGTTTAATAATTTATTTTATTAATTTGATTATTATTACTATGTAAATATGAAATCATTTCTTTAATGAAATGATACTCTTAATAATAAACTAAAACTACCAGTAGGTGGTGGTATATGTATTAATGATTAAGTCATCGAGTCATTTATTCATTCATTTGATTCGTTCAAATGGCTGATTCATTCAGGAGTGAAGTAAATGGTTCTTTATGAATGGTCAATTGAATCATTTGGCTTGTTCGACTTGAAGCGGATCATCACCATCAGATCGATCAGTGTGGGACATCAAATTACTGCAAGAGCTATAGAGAGCAGACGGCTCCTTATGCTTTTGAATCACTCTCGCGGTACTTCGATGTCAAATTCAAATCCAACGCGCCTATGGCCACTGGTTCAATGCGCCGAATGGTTCACCCAATTTGTTCAAAACGTGCATTAAGAAATGAAATGCCGCTGTGTGTTGCTTGGAGATAAACAGTTCTGCTTTGTCTTTATATTTTTGTTGGCAAAATTAAGCAAAACATAACACAATATTAACTTCTTACTTACTGAACTGTTGTATAAGATCAGTATTACATTTGCACTGGTGTGATCTTGCACTTAGCCTATTGCTCGTGTGATATTGCTTAACTATATGATGTAAATATGAGACAAAAACTCAAAACAGGGGCATTTGTTTGCCCCATATCTTGAATTTTAGGGACATTCTAACTATGTTCTCTAGGCTCCATCATGCAGTGAGTTGTTGCCCTCATGCCCTGCCTCATATTTGTCATCAATCAACTGTATGAAATGTCAGATGACCCACGTAGGTCTGGG